GCAGAAGGCTCAGCCAGTCCTTGCCTGGGACTGCCCAAACAGGATGCCTTCCATGCGTAAGGTTTCCAGGCTGGGGTGCCGAACCACGGGCTCGTCCAGTTCCACCCCTGCGTGCACTGCCAGGTTGATTTCTGTGCGCGGCTCCGATGTTGCCATCTTGTTTGTGGCCGTGGCTGGGTCCCGCACTGTGGTATGGATGGTAGATGTGCCTGTGCTCCCCGCGGCTGTCTGCCTGGTCCTGCTGCCTTCTCCCCGTGCTGCCGTTGTGCCCCTGGTAGTAAGGCGCAGACCCGCTGTTGCTGTGTTGTCTGTCAGAAGGACTGTTCATGGCCTGGAGTGGCTGATGACCGAGTCCATCGTTTCTTGGCACAGGACGCACAGTGTGCCTTCCATCTGGGAAGTTTTGAGACCGGGGTGCTGAACCGGAGGGTTGTCCACTTTCACGCCTAGGTGCCATGCCACTGTGTGTTTGTTTTCCACGCGTGGGTCCGATGCTGCCATCTGTGTTACGGCCGTGGCTGGGTCCCGCACTGTGGTATGGACGATAGGTGTGCCTGTGCTCCACACGGCTGCCTGCCTGATGCTCCTGCGTTGTCCCCGTGCCCCCGTTGTGCCGCTGGGAAGGCGCAGGCCCCCTGTTGTTGGATGGCTGAGGGGCCGGCCCGTTCCCTGCGTCCTTGCGGTGCCAATGGTAGCGCTTATAGGTGTTTGTGGGCTGCATGCCAGAGCTCCCTCCTCGGGCACTGGTGTCAGTTGTGCCGCCAGCGCTCTGCCTCCACCCGTAATGCTTCTCCTTCTCGTCAGCTGCCTTCTTTCTTGGTGCTTGCTGTGACTGCATAGCTGTCTGCTGACACCAAAAAGGGCTGCCTCTCGCTTCGCTGCTTTGGCTCTTCTTCGCCACACAAGTTGGCTCTCAGAGTGCCTAGAAGCTCAGCGAGTGGCGGGCCAGTGGCAGGGGGGGCTTTTTATAGGGCCCCGAGCAAAGGCGGGGCAGTGGTGGCCACTGTGACCTCAGCCAGCCTCTGTGACGGAGTTGCCCATGCGTGGCCAAAGGCAGCTGTGTTGGGAGCAGCCTGGAAGATGGCCTCAGGTGGAGGAAGGAGGAGGGTTGGGGGGGCTGAGGGCCCCTTTTCTGGGGCTGGGTCCCCCGGGCCATTTGGCTTGCCAGGGAGAAAGGCTGTCCTTTGGCCACAGGGACTGCCCTCCACCTCCCATCCTGTGCCCTGGCTTTATGTTTAACACTGATTTTTATGTAATTAACATTAATTTACAGAGAGGAACAGAAGCAAGGTGCATCTTCAGCCCTAATTTCCATGTGCGCTTTGTGTTCTGAGTGAAGAATTTCTTCCTCACGTCACATCTAATCTAAGTCTTCCCTCCATTTACTCAAAGCCATCACTCCTTGTTCCGCTGCTACACTCCCTGACAGAGTCCATCTCCAGCTTGCTTTTAGGCCGCCTTTCTAGATTAGGTTAGGTGGCAAAACCGCAGGACCTTGCAAATTGCAGCCTGATCTACCTTGTTCCACATGTTCCACGCAACATTTTCCAGCTCAGGCTCGATCCTCTCTCTCACCAGTGTAACAGAGAAGCATAGAAACAGTCAGGTTGGAAAAGACCTCCAAGATCTTGCTTACAAGCTAGGAAGACACAGCACCATTTTCCAGTCTACATGTATGAAAACTTGTTTGGGTAGCAAATAAAGACACAAGTGTTATCCAGAGTTTAGCTGTAGGTTTTGTTCTTCAACTTCATCTTGCTGTAAGACAGACCTGGTTTCTCAGACATGCAGGAGAGCTCTCTATAGAGCCTCTGGAATGGGCAAGTAGGTACAAGTAGGAAGGAATCCAGCCTGATGGTTGCCTTCATGCCGCATTACAGGGCTAACAGTTTGAAAAACCTTATAGTAACACCGTGTGCCTAAACTGAACCTGGCAGCCAGAGATGCTGTGACTCCAGACTGCCATGCTGCTCAATAAAAACAAGCAAACGAACAAAAGCAAAACAAAACAAACAACAACAACAACAAAACAGACAAAAAAAAAAAAAAAAAAAGAAAAAAAGAAAAAGAAAAAAAAAGACACAACCAACCCACAAACAAATATGTCGTTTAGAGCAGAAAGACTTTTTGTATGTAGAATAGTCTGAGGGGGAGCAGTGTTTTGCTGAGAAGCATAAGGTGGCATGTTGTGCTTCCTTTCAAGGGTAAAACCTCCATCACTGCATACCGTAAAAGTAACTTTTGTGTTTTTCAGGAGGACAAAAAAGGTTTAGCAGTATCTTTGTCCTCCCATTCTCAAGACAGCACTGGGCACTGCAGCCCTGCAGTCATCCTTGTAGGAGCTCCAGCCTGTGCATTGCTCTATTGATACATATTGTGGTTTGTACATGCAGGTGAACAAAAGATGGCTTTAGTGTACTGTCTAGTTGTTGCCTTCAAGTAAAGATGACAATCAAATTGAAGACTGTGGTAGAGTGGAGAAGCGTGAAGCAAGTTGCTGTATATCAAATTGCTCAAGTGGTCATGTTTACCTTTTATTTCTGCTTGCAACATTACGGGACAGAAATAAAAACTATGCTGTGCGATATATCCTTTCTGCATTTGCATAACTTACCACTTCTAAAGCAACCATTCCATCTAACGTAAGATCTTTTCAGGTTCCAAGTTCAGAAAGCGGCTATTTTTATCACAGAATCACAGAATCACAGAATTTCTAGGTTGGAAGAGACCTCAAGATCATCGAGTCCAACCTCTGACCTAACACTAACAGTCCCCACTAAACCATATCCCTAAGCTCTACATCTAAATGTCTTTCAAAGACCTCCAGGGATGGTGACTCCACCACTTCCCTGGGCAGCCTGTTCCAATGTCTAACAACCCTTTCGGTCAAGAAGTTCTTCCTAATATCCAACCTAAAACTCCCCTGGCGCAACTTAAGCCCATTCCCCCTCGTCCTGTCACCAGGCACGTGGGAGAATAGACCAACCCCCAGCTCACTACAGCCTCCTTTAAGGTATCTGTAAAGAGCAATAAGGTCATAAGCATCTGTGATGTTCAAAAGCCATTAGACAGTAGCCGTGCTGCAAGGAATGGAGAAAGCAGATTTTGTACCTCATTAATATTTTCCTCTTTTGGATTTTTCCCATCCTGCCGAGGGACTCCTGATGTGCTCTGGACTTATTTCACTTTGCATAACTAATTAAATGTTCACTGACACATGGACATTTTCCTCAATCCGTATGCATGCCCCATCTTCTAGATTCTAGAGGCAGCTGTTTTCTAACATATCTAATATTATTTATTTATTTACAAAAGTAGTGTAGCTGCTGCAGTTGGAAAGAATGACATGTACATCAGAAATAGATGACTGTTTCTGAAGAGGAACTAATTTATCAAAGAATTTCAGCCTCTTCCTACTCCATATCAAACCAAATTCCCACAGTTCTATGTTTAGAAAAAATATTCAATAAAGGCATATCTTGTACAATGATGGGTTTTTGAAGGCAAGGTCTTCTGCCAGATTCTAGTAGAACTAGGACTTTTTGTAGCTTGATACAATATTTAATCTGGATTTTATAGTAGGTGGAAACAGACTGGCTTAAGTGTAAGAACAGGAATACTATGAGACAGCATGAAGCTCTTCTTTAATGATTAAATACCCTCCTTAAATGACAGCATCTATTTCAGATTGAGCTACTTCTACAGATGCTTTTAATTGCAGATCTCTGTGTAAGTACACAAACCAACTAAAAAAGTTAAAGACCAAAGTGCCTGGGTTGGTTATTCCCCAGTTATGTGCTAACAAGATTTCTTGCACCATCTGGAGCACCTCTCCTATGAGGACAAGCTGAGGGAGGTGGGGTTGTTCAGCCTGGAGAAGAGAAGGCTCTGGGGAGACCTTATAGCGGCCTTCCAGTGTCTAAAGGGGGACTACAGGAGAGATTGGGAGGGACTTTTTGTCAGGGGGTATAGTGAGAGGACAAGGGCAATGGCATTAACTAAAAGGGAAGATTTGTATTAGATGTTAGGAAGAAATTCTTCACACAGAGGGTAGAGAGGCACTGGCACAGGTTGCCCAGAGAATCTGTTGATGTGCCATCTCTGGAAGTGTTCAAGGCCAGGCTGGATGGGGCTCTGGGCAACCTGGTCTGGTGGGAGGTGTTCCTGCCCATGGCAGGGTGTTGGAACTGGGTGGGCTTTAAGGCCCCTTCCAACTCAAACCATTTTGTGATTCTGTGATTCTATGATAGCAGCATAGTTAATATAGAAACCTTTCCCCTCCCTTTCAGAGGTAGATACCAATATATTAAATGATTTTACAGTCCAAAGACTCCTTTCTTTCTGTCTTTCTGTAGAGAACTTTGTGACTGTGTTGTTCTGGTATAACCTGTAGAAGTCAAGCAACTAAACCTGATCAACAGTCTGAACAGTATCTAGTGTGTACTTCCTAGGAAGATATTTAGTTCTAGTTTGTACTTCCTAGGAAGATACTCAGTTCCAAGAAGTGCAGCTTTTCAGAGCTGCTATACGCAGTTACACTCAGAAGCATATGAATAAATTATACTAGGGTTATTTCATGCCTAAAACGCTATTCTGAAACATTACAACAGCTCCTACCATACCTTTATAATCTACCATATCAGTACATCTGCCATAAGTTTATTTTTTTGACTGACTGTACACACTGAAGCTGGAGAAGTTTCTGTATACCTGCGTGCTAAACCAAATACTTGCTGTTGCTGTTACATGTACAAATGCACATTATAGAATAGCCCAGATATCTCCCATTAATATACATGTATATGCACATGTACATACACATCAGTGTTTATGCATATATAAAGGAATGTAAGAGGAAATGTAATGGGAAATTCATGTCTTTGAATTTGTACCCAAGCTCACATAGCTCACATACTTGTTATTAAAACAAAACAAAACTAAGCAAAACAAAAACAAACAACAAAAACAACAAAACCCCAGCTTTTGGTTTATATTTTTAGTTTGCATATATTTTCTTACATTTCTGCCTCCCAGCCACAGACAGAAACAGAGGTAAAACTGTTGAAACATTTAAGGACTATCTCCTGTCATTTCCACCAGACTGGGCCCCACTTTAGAAAATGTCCCTCAAGACATTTCCAAAATGCTTTGGCAATTACATGAATCAGATAAATGTAAACATTCACTTTAAGGGAGGCTTCTGCTTCAAAGACCACATAAACATTTAGCTTTTCAAAGCTAAAACATTCACTGTTTGAAGTTGTGCTGTAAGTGCTATCCGTAAGATTCCTGAAGGCTCTGAACACTGGCCACCAGCATCATGCAGAGATGGCAAACACCACATAGGGATGCTGAAACAGGAATGCAGGTTGCATGGTGCCACCAGGATTTCTCCCACGTGCATTATTCCAGGCAAGGTGTGTGGTGTCCAATATTGGGGGCTGCACAATATGATTGTGGGGATCCAAAAGAAGACCATCAGGAGGAGAACACCAGGAGTGATCACAGGCCTAGAAAAGACCTACAAGTAAAGACCACTGGGGTGAATCACATCTTTAATCCAAAGGAGAGAAGACAGGTTAGGATGAATAGCTTGCAGAATCACCAGGAAGAGGTGATTCTAGAGGAAGTAGAGGTGATTGCTAGAGAAAGTAGAGAGTACTTGACTATCAGTGAGATAAATTTTGATAGATAAAAAGGTACCTATAGATGGCATCACTCTCAGGTAAAGAAAGAATCAGGTAACTTCTTGAAGTGCTTTCCATCACTGTGATTTTGTAACCACATTGAACAGATCTTTACCTGCAGTTACCTGGATATATTGTTTCCTGGAACAGCTGCTCTCATGCATGTGTGCATGTAGGATCTTTCCTTTCCCCTAGGACCTTCCATTTCTTGCAGTGCAATCACATAATTGTCCTCTGTTTGAAGAAGGGTCTTGGCTATGTAGCATTCCTTTTTCAGGAAGTGGAAAACTGCCAGGGCTCTGGACCACCAGGGCTCTGGATCTTGCAAAAGGGGGAAACAGAGCAAATCAATTAAAAAACAAATCCGTTTAGGTTGACCTGAAACTCTTTTTAAACTGAGATGAAATCACCAAGGAATTTCAGGAATTATCAAAAAAAAAAAGAAAATAAGTCATACATATTGGAAGCATTAGAAGACCTGTTTTCCTGTTTCTTATGTCTGTTTCTCAGCATTTTACTTTCCCCACTGGGTCACAGAGTAGTGTCTTTTCTGTAAAAGGAAAAGGAGCAGTCTCAACAGGAAAGACTGAGAATGGCTCACCCCAAAATAGGAATTTGGGGTACTTTCTGGATAACTAGGATATACCCAAATCTAGCTCTCAAACAATTAGCAAAATACTTTAATTGTAGCTTAGGTAAGTTCATTAAATATAAGGCTTCAAATGGAAGGGAAGTGACAATGCTAGCCACATCTATACTGCCAAACTAAGAACAGGGAAAGAGCCTGAGCCCTGATCACCCATAATGCTTAACAGTTGTCTCACTCCCTGGGTTTCTTCTGAATATCTCTAATGATCTCTATCCTGGACAAATCTCCTATGGAAAGGGCTAAGTTTAAACAGTGTGGACTGAGGCCAGTCAGTGCCACTAGACTTTTATGGTAAGGATCAGTTTGGGCTTTTTTTCTCTTCATTAACATTGACAGCCACTGTGACCTCTCACTTGTTCTGTACGTGAGAGCTAAATTCCCTTTGAACTTAGTCTTTTTTTTTTTTTTTTTTTTTTTTAAGCTGAAGACAAACAAAAGCAAATTTCCAATAAGTAGTTCCAGTTTTCAAGCATACCTCCCAAAATTGGTTCGGACCAGTATTTCAGACTCATCATAAATGTACATATATATATATATATTTATTGCAGTTCAGTTGTCAAACTTAAAAAATATTTTTTTTTAAAAGCGCACTAGTTTACAGTCCTTTTCTTCAAAGAGTTTTCCTTCAAAAACATGTGACAGCCTGTTAGTGGCACAGTACAGCCTGTACCTTCAAATCAACAAATTACTTATTCTCTCCTTAAAGCAGTTAAAGTGAAGTGCAAAGTCAGTAGTGACCCAACAATGCAGTGGTTTGCTTACAAATGTGCTGCTCTGGGCCTCTCCAAGCTCACCTCTAAGTGGAAGTAGCTTGTAGGGACATGGTATAATGCCCAGCAAGGCCCTGAGCTGGCTTTACTCTTTGATATAGACAGCTATTTGCATTTCTAGGCTGCCTGTTTGTGATTATCTGATAAACCCTTTGAAGTTAACTCTGGCATCTCTGCATCTGACTGAAGCCACCGCTACCATCTCGTTGTCCTGTGCTTCTGCCATCTCAGCTGGGCAGCCCCTCTTGTCCCACCTCAGACATCTCCCTTTTAAAACCGAACACGGTAAGCTCAGTTTTAGCTGGTTATTCTCTCTATTTCAATCCTGTTCAACAATATCTACATTCCCCTAGCTGGCCACAAGAAATGCTGCCACATCATGCATGATAGCCATCAGTTTGCCCACCTCTTTTCCAAGCAGCCTGCCTTCTGCTGTACTGATGCTGCAATAACCTAAAGCAATCAGATCATGTTCCATTTTTCATGAGCCTGAAAAGTGCTCATGAAAGCAGGGCTCTTCACCTTCTCTGTCAAGCTATGCCCTCCGGCTAGGACTTGAAATCAGTACCACCACTCTCCAAAGGAAAATGCATGCCGCTCTGTGAAGCTGGGAACCATCCCAGCTGGTAGCTGGAAAGAGGAAGAGATGAGAAAATAAAGAAGAAGATGAAACATTCTTTAATGATGGGGGAAAAATGGAAAAATTCTGGTTCCTCAGGGTTAGGGTCCTTTGGGAAAAACGTAAGCATAACTACATGCTCCTCCAGCAAACATCTTCTTTATTAGTACTCGCTCTGAGATTGCTTTCAAGTCAGCTGCTTCCCAGGAGCAATCTCTTAAGGGCAAGAGCCAAGCACTGAGCCAAGTCCCCTTGATGTGCAGTAAAGTTTTGACAGGCTTGGGCACTCCCAGGAGGAAGTCACCCTCTGGGCAACTGTGAACTGACAGTGAAGAGATGGAGCTGGTTGTGCAAGGGAGCCCCATCCAGGCTGGGGGCATTCCTGAACCACATATATGGTGGGCACAAACACCCCGAGACCTCAGCACCCCTTGTATGATGAAACTGGGAGGATGCTCAGAATTTTATTTACTTATTTATTTCTTTATGCACTTTATTTATTGCCTCCACTTCTGGCCAAAGCATGATGGGTTGGTGGGCTGGTTCAGTGCACCAGTTTGCATGTTTTTCGGATCACAGTGAGTGTTAAATGAAATACAGAGTGGAGCACAGACCTGTGATGCTTTGGCAGGTGAGTTAATACGCACCAACAATGTTTTTTTTTGAAATATTGGGCACCAAAGGAAAGAAAAAAATCTCTGTGACAGAGTATCTTTCAGAGGCTCCTTATGAAAACAGGCCATCTGGCTTCACTGCAGTGTATTTGTTAACTCTCCAGCCTACTACTGTTTCCCTGCTGGGTGACACATGCTGAATCTGTCACACATCTAGAGTGAAATTATAAATAAACAATGGCGCATTCAAGTAAAACAGAACTTTCCCACAGAGGGCTTATAGGAAGCAAAAAGGAAGCAGAGAGAGTCAAATCTTTGTTCTTTTGTCTGCAGGAGAGTCGGTCCCGTGCTCAGAGCTGGAAAGAGGGCTCAGATCTGCCCGCGGGAGGATGTCTTTTGCTGAGGGATGGACCAGGTGGTATCTCAGCCACAGCCACAGCCCCGCTTGGCTGCTCTCTGGCATGTGGCAAGAAGCAGCTTGCTGTCCTCCAGGTTTCAAGATAAATGCAAGAAATGGGAATGAAGAGAGCTGGAGACTGGTGGCATGGTAGTAGGGGGAATAAAAGCTCAAGCTTGCAGTGCAGCATCGCACGTGTGGATTTTGTGTGCTGGCTCAGATGCTGAGCAGGCCTTTCCACTCCTCTTAATTAATCAGAGATCTTCTCCTGCAGCCTAGAGAGGCTGTTGGATCAGAGAAACCCAGCTGAATTGCAAAGCCCTGTAAGCCAAGATGCAAGATAAATATTTAGGACTTCTCAGCTCTCAGTCATGCCCTTGTACTTTGCACATCAGAGGGAAAGCTGGGGAAGAACCGTGCCAGATCCCTGGCAGCTAGCTTCATCCCTAAGCCAGGCCTTGTATGCCTGTGAACGGCATGGCAGCAAAGCGATACTTTACGGTGACACCTCCTGGGAGAGACAGGAGAAGCTTTCCGTGGGGTTGCGAGTCAAAAGGCCATGTTAATGTTGGCCGCAAGCCACTGCTCTCTGTAGGCAGCAGCTTTCCCTGGGCTCAGGAGGCAACAGGCCGTGTTAGCTGCGATGCTCTGCTATCCTTTTTTTTTTTCACTCCCTATGTCTCCAGGGTTCAATGCCTGAACAAATAATATCGGGAAGCAGTGCGAAATTGCTGCAACTTAGATTTCCCAGTGGAAGCGGTGCATGTGCGCAGGCTGCAGTGCTCAAAGGCCAAAAGCCAGGTTGTTAAAAGATTAAAGAACTATTCTATTTCAGACAATCTTCAGAAAACAAACACCTGCTGGTCTGTTTTTTTGCCCAGTTCAACTTTTTGCAGCTTATTTGAAGTCACTGTATATGTGGGATTGCTGTGGATTCATGTTCATGACAGTAAGAGAGAAGTTGGGCTCCTGCTGGTGAATGGATGCATTAAGAGGCATAGTTAGGCTCATCTGCGTGTGCTTGTGCATTCACAGAGTATACACCTAGAACTTCCCTCCTTCACACACAAACAACATGTTTTATCGGTGTTTTTAACATAGAAAATTATCAAAGAAGAGTAGGATCAATTGAGGCTGCCTTTCCATTTCATGGAAAACCGAAGCTACCAAAAGTGTACAGCCCATCTTGGGAAAGTCAGAGGAGAGAGACAGACCAGCACTACTAGAAGCAGGAGTATTTTTGGTTGGCACAAGGCTGCTATAGGACATCACCCTCATTTTGACCTCCTTTACAGCAGCTTTCTTCAGGAGTAACTACCCTGGGTTCACTGAGTTTCAAAGCATTTGGCACATGCATAAAACCTCAACAAAGTAGATCAGGGTTAACCACAGCACACCCAAGCCCAAGTTTCAGCTGTGTTTTTTTTTTTTTTTTTTTTTTTTTTTTTTTTTTAATACTAGCTACTATTTTTATTGTTAAATTCACACTTGGTAACATCACAAGCTTCCCCCACAGCTGCCCCTGAAGATTTCCAAGGGCCATAATAAGGAAGCTGGTGAGAAGCATGCATCTCTCCATGGGCTATGTAAGGAGCCAAACACCTATTTTAAGGCAAAGTCTCGCATATTGAGGGCAAAGTAAGCTAATGCCAGGAAATTAAAATAAAATCAAATAAGTAGGTAGGTAGAGGAACAGCTGTCTCTGGGCTTGCCCCAAGGCATCTCCATTGGCATGGTGTTGTGGTGCCACCCACATTTTCATGTTTTTTGCACTCAATGTGCATGTGGGAGGCTTGGGTCTGGGACCTTTCACAGCCTGTGGAGATTTCCCAGTTTTCACACACCAGAAAAATGTTCAGACCTGCAGACAAAAAGGAACTGAGGGGGGGCAAGCACTTCTCCCTTGAGAACAAAATTCATGGAGCCAGACAAGAGTGGGCAAAGGCAGACTGGGCAGGAGCAGGACTGGAGCACCAGGTCCTATGTTGTTGAACAACAAATACATTTATTTTTTTCACAAGGTAATGTTGAAAATATTCTCCATTGTGCTCCACTTAAAGCACATACGCTTGCAAAAGCGTAGAGTGACCATGATCTTCCAAAATTAGGAAAACAACCTGTGTTACACTCAGGCACCCACACAACCACCATTGGCAACCAGGTGGTACTGGAGGGAAGGAAATGTGAATTAGTCTTTAAAGACCAATGTGTTAATGTCTCAAATAGGGTTTTTTAATATAGCCCTTTGAACTGTGATGTTCTTATCTCTTGG